ATTAAAATATGAAAACTAAAGACAAAGAAAAATATTTAAAAGCAGTCAGAGAGAAATTACACCCATTTATAAGGAAAAGAAAACTGGAATGACAGCGAACAAGGAACCTTATAGACCATGATACTGTTGCAGAATTCTAAAAGACAGGAGAAACCAAATGGGAGTCAGGAGGATTTATTTAGGGTGTATATACCAGCTCAGCGGACTCTGTGTTTAAGATGACTGAGCGCTGAACAAAGAGAAGTTTAGCTTTTGTACATTTTGTCAAAGGCAGTGGTTTTTTTAGTGATGTAGCAAGTGAGTTTACCTGAATAGGACTAGAGCAGACAGTTTTGTAACTTTGCCTTTTAACAAAACAGTGTCCTATGAATCATATGAGAGCAGTGTCATAAACTTTGTTTACAGTATATAGTTGTTAATTTTATCTGTACCAGGACAAGGAGTTATAGCTACAGGGGAGGGGGTTGGAGGGGAGCAGAACTGCCCAAGCCTGTAGAGCACTTGTTTTTCTTTAAGTCCTGCTTCAATATAATAGCACAATATTTTTCAAGTGCTAAAGGAAAAGAACTGTCAATTTACAATTCAGCACTCAGAGAAAATATCCTTCAGGAATGAAAGAGAAATGAAGATATTCTTAGACAAAGGAAAACTAAGAGAATTTGCTGCTAGAAGATCTATCCTGAGAGTTTGACTAAAGAAAGTTCTATAAATAGAATGGAAATAATATATTAAAAAATAAACCCTTAGGAAACAGCAAAAAAGAAAGATAAGGCAAACAAAATATGGGCAACTACAACAGGTTTTTTTTTCTCTTGTGTTTTCTAAATTATGTTTGACCGTTGAAGAAAAATTATACTACTACTACTTAAGATGATTCTAAAAATATATAGGGAATATATTTAAGATAATTATAAATAAGAGAGATAAAGGCAGATGAAGGGAGAGGGAGGTAAGGTCTCCTTACTCAACAACAACACCGGGAAGTCAGCTAGCCATCCTTGGTGTTCCCTGTCTTATGGCTGCATCACTCCAGTCTCTCTATCACCATACAGCCTTCTCTAGTGTCTTTAGCTGGTCTTCTTACAAGCTGGGAGCTTTTTCAGCTCCAGCCAGAACACAGAGAAAGAAGAGAATAATACCCTAACCTGCAGTAGCAAAGGCCTAGAAAGGGTGTCAGTTTCCGCAATTATGTTGCTATAATGAGATATCCAACACTTCTTATAAGAACACCCCAGTCATTGGATTTAGGGCTCAGTTTAATGAAGTAAGATGTTACTAACTGTATTTGGAAAGACCTTATTTCCAAGTAAGATCATTTTCTGAGATTCCTGCAGACCTAAATTTTGCAGGGGTACTGTTCATTCTAATACATGTGCCTTAAACCTCTCAATGTCAGTATTTTGGCTATGATATTGTTATAGCTTGTGGCACCTTACTATTGAGAAAGATTGGGTAAAGGATATATAAAATCTCCATCAAATTATCATTTCATGTGAACCCATAACTGTCTTAAAATAAAATATTTAATTTTTAAAATATATATTAACTTTCTTTTAGAGTTACACAGTGGGTATTTTTTTCAGAATACCTCATTGGTCATATTGATGGAAACAGACATCTTAAATTTACTCTTCTAATAATCTTTATCCAAGTAAAATGCTCCAAACATTCAAAATACAAAAATATTTCAGACCTAAAACAATATGCCAGTCTCATTTTTTAAGTTTGTTTTGGTAACCTCAGAATTTCAGACATTGTGACCTCATGACATTGTGTCCTTTATTTTCAAAAAATCAAATATGTATGTGTGTGTGTATTTATACATATATATATATATTTGAAAGATGTACTGCATAAAAAATGCTTAACTAGCATAATTATACAAGATGTCCATTCTAGAAAATTCACATCTCAATACTTGACAGTATGAAAACTGCAGCAAACACTACATTATATAATAAAGACCTACAGGAGTTATATCCTCAAAATATAAACTGGAACCTAGGGAAGTATTGTGAATTTGTCCTTTACTCATTTTTTAATCACACTGATTCCAAATAACTGAGGGGCAATTGTAAAGATGCAATTGACTTACAGTCTTCTAATAACTTATCTAGTATCTGGGGTTTATGTTAATCAATATATACTCTACAATAAAACCTATAATGAAAACCTCCAAGGGAATGAGAAGGAGACACAACTATTCTCTCTTTCTGTTTCTTTGATTAATTAAAAAGAAGATAGGTGGAGCCAGGGATTTAGCTCAGTGGTTCCAGTGCCTGCCTTGCAAACACAAGGTCCCGAGTTTGATCCCCGGTACCAAAAAAAAAAAAAGAAGAAGAAGAAGATAGGTGAGAGAGCGATAGGTAGGTAGATATATTAATATGGATAGCAATAAAATAGAAATCAGCTGTGAAGAATGATAGTATCTTATGGTTAACTTAGCAACTGAGCAACACTCAACTCTACTTTGCTTTAGAAATATTTTCTTGATCCTTGTGCATCACATTCTGCTTCTAGTACTTACAGAAAATTTTTTGACTGATCATTCTATATGATACTTTCAAAGTACCCCAAAAACTAAATTAAGCTGACAAAGAAAATAACCAGGAAGTAGAAGCACAATGTTTCAACTTGTTTCCTTAATAAAGGTATTTACATTTATGTATAAAATAAATTTCTACAGCTTCATATTCTCCAAAATTGCAAGCCCAAATTTTACTTTATAGAAACTGTTATTCCCAAAATAATATAAGAACACCATGGTTTCTTTTAATCAGCTGAAAGAAGAAAAGTGAAGACTTTTCAGATCTCCACTACACAAAACTTCTAATTTAAATGACAATCTCCACAAATGAAAGTAATGAAAGTGAAAGTAGTTAGGCTTATTTCAGCTAACTTTACTACATATTATAAAACTCTTTTGCCTATAAGAGTATTTAAAATAAGTCATTTTATGTGAAATATATATCACTGATGTCAAAGTTTGTTTAATGTTCAGAAAAAAATGAAATATTTTTTCTGTAGTTTTTGTCATTGTGTGCCAAGTACTTTCACTGTTAGAAAGCAATGCAATTAATCATTTCAGGTTTTGGCTGATGTTATGATGCACATACCAATAATCCTTTTAAACTTGAGTGAAAATGTTCACTGTTCTCCATACTAAGAAAATTAGAGGTGCCCTGTCATTTAGTTTCACTGTAGTGTAAGAAATGAGGAGGTAAGCACCACTAGGGGAAAAGAAGAATATCTACAGCTTATTTTTCAAAACAAAAACTATGTCAGAAAATGACTCAATATAATAGCCTTGATTGTATGTCCTTGCGTGTGTGTAGAGATCTAGGGGATATATAAGTAATTACAATTTGCTTTAAATTGCAGGCATTTCATACTTTTATTTAAGTTAGGATTTCTAATTTAAATATGTTAATTTCTCTGCAAACATCTAGATGCAGTCCCACACAATTGGAATTCAACTGTCCTCTCACGTAAAGAGAAAAAGAAATAACTAAGGAATAACTAAGTTCTTTATTCTGCAAGCATGGGCTTTTCAGAATCTCAGTGAAATAGGAAATAACTTTAATAACAGGAAATAAGTGACCAAGACATAAACTTGTTAATTTTTTTTGCAACAGAGGTAACTATAGCTATTATAAAAGAGCTGGTGAGTTAGCTAGATAATATGCAACAAATTGCCCTCTGTTGTCCATTTAGCTTTAAATATCTTCCTTTCTTGGTCATTTTTAATTAATTCTTTATTAAGAACTTGGATATATCTTGGCATTACCTGTCACATATATGTGTGTACCAAAGAGCCAAACATTAGACATCAAAATAGAAAAGAAGAAAAGCAGGGACAAACATTTACCCACAGTTCATAGGTCAATTTAAAAACTAAGGGAGATAATTATAAATTCATCTCCTTAGCAGTTTACATTTGGGTTACATATGTAGATAATATATTTTACACAATTTTTGGAATGCATTGGGTGACTTATGGAGCTATAAATAGAGTAGTTTTTCTTTCCTCATATCCATGTGGTACCATTTAGACTTGTGGACAGTATTGACAGGTGTTCACTCCCCCCCAAGAGCAACTCAGTGGATATTTTTTCCATATATATTAAAGGCATGTTGCCCCTCTATACTATTCTACTTTTTATCACTGGGATACAGTACCTAACAACCACAATTTAAAGGAGAGATGATTTGGCTCATGGTTTTAGAAGATTCAGTCCATGGTAGGCTGAATGCAAGACAGAACCATAATGTCAAAAGAGTATGGTAGAGCAAAGCTGCCTAGTTCATGGTGGCCAGAAAGCACAACAGGGTAACAGCACCAGAGAAAAAGGGGCCAGAGCAGATATGGTCTACAGAGTCACACCCCTGAAACCTGCCGAAACACATCCAGAAGTATACTGTACTAATCCTCTTGGTGGCTCTCAGGCCAATCAAATTAACAATCTTAATTGTCACACCATCCTACTATGTTCAGCCCTCTATATCAAATTCTACTTTTTCAAAATCTAGCCACAGAATCCTTAAGGATTATTTTTCTGACTAGGAAAGTTATATTTAACATTATTAACAGCATAATCAGTGGTAAAGCTGATAAACAACTTGCAAGCTCAGTTTTCTTTGAATATGTATATATATATGTATACATATATATAGAGAGAGAGAGAGAGAGAGAGAGAGAGAGAGAGAGTGTGTGTGTCTTTCATTCCCCATACTTCTTTTTGTTTTTTTGTTTGTTTTTGGTACCGGGGATTGAACTCGGGTCCTTGCGCTTGTGCAGCAGGCAGCAAAACCACTGAGCTAAATCCCCTGTCCTCCCTGTATTTCTTTTTATTCTCAGGATGTAGCTGAGAAGCATTGGAAAATATCTTGATTGTACATCTTAAACAGTTATCTTTTCCATACTCACAAAAATTTTATTATTGACCACAACTTATACTTTTGGCTTAATTCCTAAAGATGTCTGTATTTTTTCCAAACAGCCTCAAAACCAGTGGATTCCAAATTATGTACTGGCCCAGTACCTAATACTACACAACTGTGCCACATTCCCTGTCCAGTCGAATGTGAGGTGTCGCCTTGGTCAGCTTGGGGACCTTGTACTTATGAAAATTGTAATGACCAGCAAGGCAAAAAAGGTATGTAATAGTAACACATGATATTTAAAACACCCATCGATTAAGTCAAATCATGAATTTTAAAAGTGGTTTCTGTGTTCCTTGTGATTGTTTTTTGGTAGAATTTTACAGAATGGTTAAGGAACATAGAGTTCCTAAAATGAATAAACCTACTCTGGTGATTAAAGAAGATTAAAATGGAGGAACATAGGCAAGATGCTTGATAATTTAGATAATGTGATGGAGAGGATTTGAGACACTTCAATGAATGATTAGGGTGAGATATGGTGTCAGACCAACCTGCACTGAAAACTCTACTGTGCTCTTTAACTTATTTACTGTTACCTATAAAAGAGATGTAATAATATCTGGCACTAAGCTTGTCTCTGAAGAATCAATGAGAAAATAAACACAAATAATTCAGGCCCTGACCTGTATGTAGATCAGCTAGTGCTAATAATCACAGCTCCTTATTGCTTTGAAGGTAAAAATCTTTTTTAAAACTTTGTTACTTTATGATACAAATGGTACAGCGAAGAGGAGTGGAATACATGTAGTGGTTTATTTCATGGTAGGCATGCTGAGGTAGATTCTGATGATCTCATAATTTTATTTTATCATTTTGTTTCAAACAACAGGCTTTAATATTTCTAGTATGTTTACTCAGCATAAACAGATATATTCATTTTGTTTTACATTTTCAGAAAGACACTACTCAGGCGTTATAAAAAGCATGTACTAGAACTCTGATTGGTCCACACTGAGCCCAGATGGCTGAGGTCCTGAATTCAGATTTCTAGAGATCCAAAATTCTACTGAAGCTCAAAAAGACCACTTCTTTAGAACCATCCAACTTCTCAGAGCTTCCTTTTCCAAATTCAATCATGTAACAGTGCTGAAGAATTAGAAATCACTTTTTTTTTGTTAAATTCTTATATTGGTACATTTTAGGTACACAACACAATTGCATTTCTTATTGGGAATTGTACTTTTACATAATGCATCTTGGTTCTTATTTTTTCCCCATTCCTAGCCCTCCCTTCACCCCCTCCACCCTTCCCTATTAACAAAGACTTTATTTCCATTTTTTCCAGAAATCACTTTCACATATCTGATCACCAATATCTCTGAATAGTTGGAGATTTCATTCTTTAAAGATTCTTTGTATTATCTATCTCTGACATCTCTCTATCTCTATCTCTATCTCTCCCCTTCCCTCTTCCCCTCCCTAAACCCTATGGAGACATAAGGTATAGGACTTTTTTTTGTCTGTAGAAAGCTAAAACCAAAATACTCTTTTTGTGTTCATTCATTTATTCATCTGATAAACAGTTCACAAGCTCAGGTTAAGCTACAATATGGGGATACATACACTAGTGATTCAAAATAGAAATGACTTTTCTACCCTCTGTCTTCATCCAACATTCACTCTGGGTTTCATTCAGCTTTCAAAATATATTGTTGACAGGAAATGCTTTCTTTCCCCCAATGACTCAGGCTTCAAACTGAGGAAGCGGCGCATTACCAATGAGCCCACCGGAGGCTCTGGGGGGACTAGAAACTGCCCTCACTTACTGGAAGCCATTCCCTGTGAAGAACCATCCTGCTATGACTGGAAAGCAGTGAGGCTCGGAGACTGTGAACCAGATAATGGAAAGGAGTGTGGTCCAGGCACACAAGTTCAAGAGGTTGTGTGCATCAGCACTGATGGTAAGATACATCTATCACATTTTTATGAAAATGTATTTAATCTTGCAGATATGATTTTTACTTATGTTAAAAATTTTCTCTCATAATTGGTTCTATTTACAAATCTTTATCTATCTATTCTTCCATCTATATCTTCTTATCCTTCTCTCTCTCCCTCCGACCTTCCTTTTCTCTTTCCCTTCATCTGTCATATGGTGACACTGCAGAAATTCCATAAACAGTCATAGGGTGGTTTAAAATTTGAAAACAGAACAGACAATGCAGAGTAAGAGTCAAACCATAATCAGGGAAGAATCTATTAAATTAAAAACAACAAGGTACCAGTTTTCTAAGTGATATTATTTTCTTTACCTTGGGGAAATGAAATGTAAATACAGAAGAGTTGTAAGTGTTGGTTTACTTGATGCTAAAGTCCTTTTTCCACACCAATATTGTGACTTAATGATATCATTTAATTTCAGACTGTCAAGCCATAGGCCCCATTATAGCCCAGTTTCTGAATCCACCCTACCTTCTTTCTAGCAGCCTCCCCCTTAGGAATGTCACAGAGCCAGTGAACAGTGCTTTCTCACAAGGTTCTTTCCCCCAACCACAGTAACGATTTAGTATTTTATGACTAATTTCACGTGACAAAATACTCTGTTGTTATTTATCCCTGACATAAAACATGTACATTCTTCCCAAGGGTGCTGCTACTATTTGGGAGAGAACCCCTTACCCTATTAATCCCTAAGTCATATTTAGCAGCCAAAGGAATCTCATCCCACCTCCCACACACACACACGCAGTTTAAAAATCTCTGGACAACTTCATTCTAAGGAGTCTCCTAATTCTCAGATCCTTCAACTCTGCACATCAGCAAACTATGAGCGCTAAACCCCAGGGCCTCGTGGTTTGACAGTTCCTGCTGTTTACCGCATGTGTGGACCCATCCTGCTGCCCCCTCCAGGGTACTGGAACATCTGGCAACCGTCATAATTTCTCCCGTCCTATTTTCTTCCAGCAAGCAGAATCATTTCCTCCTGTGACTCAGTCACTGTTCAGTAGTAAAGAAAGATGTTCTCTGGGGTAGGAGGCTGACAGACACTAGTAACACTGAGAAATTACCCTTGTGACTTTGAAAAGTACAGAATAATCTTCGTCCAGGGTCTACACGAGCCATTCAGAATGGTGTTAGGTAGTATCTGAACCAGAGTGAGAGGCTGAAATTCAAAGAAGGAGATAGATTATTGCTTCACATCTCCTAGGATGAATTTAGTGTAATTTTCTTTGTTGTATGAAGGTATAATTAGCTATGATACATCTTCTTTTTAGTTTTCACCATCTTATTCTAAACAGAAAAAAAAGACAAAAGTAACATTCAGAGATTGGCATATAGGAAGAGAAAGCAAAAGAAGCAATTTCTGTTGGGCCTGATGACACATGCCTGTAATCCCAACACTCTGGTAGGCTGAGGCAGGAGGATCACAAGTTCCAGCCTAACCTGGGCAATTTAGTAATTTAGCAACTTAGCAAGACCCTATCCCCAAATAAAAAATGAAACAAAATGGGCTGAAGATGTAGCTCAATAGGGGGGAAAAAAAGCAATTTTGGTCTCTGTTTTATTCAAACACCAAGTCCTAATTTGGATTGGGTGGTATTCTATATTATGTTCTGAATTGCTAAATAAAGAGTAAAGGTCATATTGTGCTCCCTAATTGATACTGAATCTTAATGCTTTCCTCAATTCAAATAATTTTGCTCTTCCTTCTAAAGATCTAGGGAAAATCTGAGTCCCAGGAATTGTAAAGATACATCTGAGTGAAGGAAAAAGACAAAACAAAATTTTAATTGTACGTGAAACATCTTTCTCAGTGTTATTCAACAAAAAATCAGATCTGGCTCACTGAGTTCAATAATCCTCCCTGATATTTGTGCAAATTGAATGTATTTTATATAGATTAGTGAACCCAGTTATTTACAAAGTATCAGTGGTTAATATTAATTTTGTCAAGTGAAAATTATTTTGTAACAAGTGTCTCTTTAATTATTTCATGAAACACTGAAAAATAAGAATAAATATGAGTTAGATATGTCCAATTGTATCGGAAACCAATATTTGTTCTAACTTAAAATTCAGATTGATAACACAAAACATATATAAGCTGGTTTTACTTTGTCTCACACACAGAAAGATTTTTAAAAAGTACACAAATGATATTCAGTTTATTATTGTTTTTCACTAAGACATCTCATCCATCATAAAATATATCTCCTACCATAAATTAGTTGAAGTGAAATTTATACTTAACTGGCTCAACTACATAAATGCATACATTTTTTAAAAATTATCTTTTAGTATAAATTCTAGAATGGGCTCAAATTGTTATATGATAGCTATAACGTGCTGATAGAATGAATAAAAGCAAAAACTAGAGACCTGTAAATATTACTGCAACATTATCGTGTGGTCACCTGGTAAGTGTTTAGCAGCTGCACCAAATGTTGTTTTGTAATTAAATTGGGCCGAGGGAATTAAAGTTGATTAGTAGCACAGACTCTACCCCCAGGCTGGGGCTGCAGCTATAGATTTTGTTTTATAATTAAGTTAATGTCAGACTAGGGACATGAAGAATTAGAGCCTGTGAACTTAGCAAATAATAAAAGACTTTTTTTCTCCCACATTCCTCACGAATTTAACACTTTTGTTAATGACCTGAAAGTATTTAAGGTCAATTTTCTTTTTTCTGAAATATTCTTTGTCTAGGCTGTAAGAGATCATTAGGATTTGCTGCAACTATTCATTTTTCCACTTGTTTTCTAAGGGGTATGGTTATGGAAGGTTGTAGAACAACTAGAAGGAGTTTTATTACTCTGACTGACAGGGGTGTGGAAAAATAATAAGAAAGCTCAAAAGACAATTAGAATCTTGAAAAGATAGGCCGGGGATGGGCTGGGGATTTAGCTCAGTGGTGCCTCCACCTGCCTCACAAGCCCAAGACTCCGAGTTTGATCCCCAGTGCCAAAAAAAAAAAAAAAGAAAAAAAGACATGCACATTTTCTGTGTAATAGAAACTTGACCATCAAGAAAGTAATTCCTTATCTGTACCACAAGGGCATGGCGGGGGGTTGTCTGAAAGAGTGTATTACCTTTGAGAACTCCCCAAATCTACCCTTTTTAATATTTGTGACATTTATGTATTCTATTAAAGGTCTAAATTTGGTGAGCTTAGTCTTTTGTTTCCCAAATTGGTTGGTTAGAGGCAGAACAAAGGCTATTAAGCTGGGGATGGGAGAAAAATGTATCATCCTATTTATTACTTGAGACAAAATATCGTTTCCATATTTTCTACCCCTTTGTTGGAAAACATAATAAAGCATGCTATCTGCATTTCCTTACTATGGGTTCTGTTTCAAATGTTAGAGTATTGCCACCACTCCAAGTGAATTTTAGAAACTCAATTTTCTTATTTTGTCTTTTGAATTATTTTGTAAAGTGATGAACCTCAGCAGTTTCAAATGTCTGACCTTCTGTGCTACCTTTCTTATTTTATTTAACATTAGTAATCATATAATCAATTAACATGCACAACTCTGTTTCTCAACTTTGGTCCAGATTTTTATAAAACCAAACAGTAATACTTTCCTGAATTGTAAATCAGTACAATTCATCATTTTACAGCTGTTAATGGTACAATAGTGGGAGTGGCGGGTTAACCAGCCAGGGATCTTGGGGTTTACCTGTGCCATTCTTGAATGGAAATGACTCTGCTGTGTAAAGATTGTCAGCAACCCAGAAAATAGGCTGGATTCTCATAATGCAGAAGAAGATTTAGGATTCAGAGCATGTTGAGGGCTGGGAATTTAGCTCAGTGGTGCTGTGCCTGCCTCCCAAGTACAAGGTCCTGAATTCAATCTCTGGTACCAAAAAAAAAAAAAAAAAGCATGTTGAAATTAGCATAAGGCAAGATTTAAAGCAGGAATTTTGCTTGCTGAACTGTTTCTCCCCATCATTAAAAGCATCAAAAAGAATTGACTGAGAATACTTTGGAGAAGCTAACCTTACTAGCCAGGGTGAGGACTTACGCTGTGACTGCTTACTCTTTCTGAAACTCTTCCCACCAGCTTCTTCCTTCCAGATTAGGGTGTGTATTTACATCTGAGTGGAGAAAAGGGAAGCTGGATACTATTTCTTTCCCAAATGGCTTATGTCATATTTCTTTGATCCGGTGTGGTTAGTATGAAGAGAAATACAAGGGCATATCATTTCAATACCTTGAGGTAAACAGAGAATAAACTTCTAAGAATATTGAAAAATAAAACCTCTAGACAATGAGACATAATGTGGGGAGAGGTGGGGCAATAAAGTGCTCTATTTTAAGTTATAAAACACAATTCGGATGCAATTTGTGATCTATAAAGATTGAATTGATTTCTCCAAGTAAGCCTTTACTAAAAAGCAACAGTGTGGAGGTAAACAGAGGTAAGTGAAACAAGGAGTAAATAATAGTGAGCAATGAATAGTGAGAGATTCTAGTGCTCTTGGTTAAGACTAATATTTTCACTGACTCAGAACCCTCATAGATTCTCCCTGAAGTGTAGGTTGATCAAGGATTAGAATGCCTGCAGTTTAGTAAGGATGTGCTCTCAGGAGACAGCAGTAAAAAAAGGGAAAATAAAGAAGCTAACTAGAAAAGGGGGCACATGTTTTGAGGTCCCAGAACCATCCCCAGGTTCAGTGACTTACTTATAAGGAGTACTCATAGGACTCAGCATACAGTTGTTCCCACATCTGTCATTTAAAATAATTCTCAAAAGCAAAACACATGGGGCAAAATCCAGAGGAAACCACGCCTGAGAGTCTTCTCTCAATGGAGTCACACAGGCTATACACTGAATTTCTCCACCAATGAGTTGTGACAGCACATATGACATGATGTCCAGCGGCAAAGCTCACTGGAGCTGGGACCCCAGGGTTTATATTCAGGTCAGTCATTTAGGCATTTTCTACCTGGCACATG